AAATCAGTGCTAGTATTTAATGGATAGGGAACAAGTGTGTTCAGAGTAAAATAATTTGTGCATGGCCTACACAATTTATCACTGTTTTCTTGGCTGCTTATGTAGGTAAGAAAAGAGCTTAGAATTATCTGAGCTTCTACCCTAACTCCTTTTATTTTGCATGGTTTTAAAATGCAGAGTTTGCTGGGAATGTAACTATCATGTAAATTGAGGAAAATCATACCTCTGTCTTTGGAAGCTCTTTTAATAGACTGGGGGTGGCTAGCAAGCAAAGGTCACAAAACAGGTTTCATCTCCTTCCTTTTCACCAAGTCCTGCTTTGGTTGACTTGAGGTAGGTTAGTCCTTGGCCCTTATTTATTTATTTATTTATTTATTTATTTATTTATTTATTTATTTATTTTGAGATGGAGTCTTGCTCTGTTGCCAGGCTGAAGTGCAGTGGCACCATCTTGGCTTACTGCAACCTCCACCTCCCAGGATCAAGCAGTTCTCCTGCCTCAGCCTCCTGAGTAGCTGAGACTATAGGCACGCACCACCACGCCCAGTTAAATTTTGTATTTTTAGTAGAGATGAGGTTTCACCCTGTTGGCCAAGATGGTCTTGATCTCTTGACCTCATAATCCATCTGCCTCGGCCTCCCAAAGTGCTGGGATTACAGGCGTGAGCCACCGCACCTGGCCATTGGCCCCTATTTGTTGGGAACACTTGCTAAATCTGAGACAGAGAAAATCACCTTTTTTTGTTTGTTTTTGAACTGGGCAGCCTCCTGAACCAGAGTGGGCCCAGAGAGACTCCCAGAGAATCACCTTCTGTTTTTTGTTTGTTTGTTTGTTTGTTTTTTGACAGAGTCTTGCTCTGTCACCCAGGCTGGAGTGCAGTGGCATGATATCGGCTCACTGCAACCTCAGCCTTCCAGGTAGCTGGGACTACAGGCACCCGCCACCACGCCCGGCTAGTTTTTGTATTTTTAGTAGAGACGGGGTTTTACTATGTTGGCCAGGCTGGTCTCAAACTCCTGACCTCAGGTGATCCTCCCCCCTCAGCCTCCCAAGGTGCTAGGATTACAGGCATGAGCCACCATGCCCTGCTGAAAATCACATTTTAACGTACTACTTTATTCAAGGAATCAGAGCAAAGAGAAAAAACAAGAATTACTTTTTTGTTAACTCCATGAAAAATATGAGGAACTCTTCTAGTAAACAATTTTATCATTTTCACAATGATGAGTATATAGAGCCTGCCTGTTCAGCCTCTCTTTTGAACAGAATTGGATAAATATGACCAAATCTTTGGCCTTGGGATTCATTTTTTTATATTGTCCTTGGGTCTTTTACTGTGAAAGCATTTTTCCAGGTAGAATATTTTAAGTTAAAGTTCAAGATAAAGCTGTATATGAAAAAATGAAATGTGTACAGCTGATGGTAAGTGAGATGACGATGTTAGGGTACACAGATACACATTTAAAGTGTTCATTGTTATATGTTTATTTTAATGTGAATGAATAATCAATACATCAAATCTGTGGTTAAATGAAGAATTGTTTGAGCCTGGGAGGTTGAGGCTGCAGTGAGCTATGATCCCACTACTGCAGACCAGCCTGGGTGACACAGCACGACCTTGTTTCAAAAAAAAAAAAAAAAAAAAGTATCAGAGTCTGACTTACAGCTCTGCTATTCACTAACCTCGTGACCTCAGACTCAGCCCTTGTTTTCTCTTTTCTTTTTTTTTCTTTTTCTTTCTTTCTTTTCTTTTTTTTTTTTTTTTTGAGATGGAGTCTCGCTCTGTCTCCCAGGCTGGAGTGCAATGGGGTGATCTTGGCTCACTGCAACCCCCGCCTCTTGGGTTCAAGTGATTCTCCTGCCTCAGCCTCCCAAGTATCTGGGATTACAGGTATGTGCCACCATGCCTGGCTAATTTTTGTACTTTTAGTAGAGATGGGGTTTCACCATGTTGGCCAGGTTGATCTCCAACTCCTGACCTCAAGTGATCCGCCCGCCTCAGCCTCCCAAAGTGCTGGGATTATAGGCATGAGCCACCATGCCCAGCCTGGGAAGATTTTCTAAGTGCTGGACCTTAGAAGAAAATAATCTTGTCCAGGATATGATTAGAAAGAGGGTCCACGTATGAGCTGTGTTATTTTTTCTAGAGGAGGGAGTGAAAAGATGGAGAGTAGAGCACCTACATCCTTCAGATGAAAGGAAGCTCCCCCCTGATCCCAGACCCCAAATCCTCAGGACTTCACATTCTCCCCATCTCTCCTCACTCCTCCAAGTACTCGCCTGAGGAACTCACTCTGTCACATCCTCCTTCCTCTGACGCAGCCAGCGCTAGTGCCTCCACCCTGCACATTCTCCTGGAGAGCTCCACAACTTACACACAGACCCACCTCATTTTTTTAACTGCCACATAGCACTAAGGGAATCCCAATATTAAGGAATGATATGTTTAATTCCCAGTTCTAGCACGAATTTTCTATGAGGACTACATTCTGGTCCTCAGCTATGAAATGTAGCTTGGAATAAAGGACCTCACAAATTCCTTCTAGCTCAGACTCTTGTAGTTCTTTGAAGCCCTGATGAGGAGTGTGTGTGTGTGTGTGTGTGTGTGTGTGTGTGTGTATAGAGGAATATCTACATAAAATGTAATCTACATTTCTGAAATTTTTTACTATGTAAATCTGTTTTTCTTAAAATACTATGCCTAAATCCAGAAAAAAATCACTAAAATAAATTATTGTCCTATATATACATGTATGTATGTATGTTATTATTGTTGTTGTTGCTACCTTAAGACAATCAAGAAAAACATTTAACTATTACATTGCAGTCAACACAGAAATCCCTATTTCTTTTCCTTTCTTCAACAGAGCAAGAGAAAATGTCAGCACAGGAGACAATAAGATGATCTTACACCTCTGAGACTATTTAGGTTTGAGGTTAGTACACTGGGGGATATCAATCAGCAAACATTAATGTAGTCATTTCCATCCTTAGCTGTCTCTATCAGCTTCACCTACCTCATCTAATAGGAAAACAAGAGACTAAAAGTCATTAAACCTAAGAGGAACTTGGATGAGTGCTTTAAGGCCTAAAATATCTCAGCATCATTCAAAATGTTTATCCCTCATGGTTTTGCAAGGAGTGTTGGAAATAAGGAAGCCACTTCCTCTTTGGCACACCTATTTCATATAAGGTAATTGGGATTAAGCCTCACAACAACACTGTGCAGTAGGTAATACTCTCCATAGTTTTCTAGAGCTGATACAGGCTTTCCTCTGTGCTTACGATCTAAGGTGACCCATCATCGGGCTTATGTTTGTGTATCATGAAGGATTTTCATGTTTCCCTTGTAGAGAAGAGAAAACGCTGGGTGCTGTGGCTCACTCCTGTAATCCCAGCACTTTGGGAGGCCGAGGGGGGTGGATCACCGAAGGTCAGGAGTTTGAGACCAACCTGGCCAACCTGGTGAAACCCCATCTCTACTAAAAATACAAAAATTAGCTGGATGTGGTGGCACACACCTGTAATCCCAGCTACTGGGGAGACTGAGGCAGGAGAATCACTTGAACAAAGGAGGTGGAGGTTGCAGTGAGCTAAGATTACACCATTGCACTCCAGCCTGGGTGACAAAGCGAGACTCCATCTCGAAAAAAAAAAAAAAGAAAGAAAAGAAAATCTCAATGGACTCCTCAGCCTCCTCAGCTCCATCAGTAGGAGTTGTGAAGGTTATGGGGGCACTCCTTGCATTGGAAGTAAGACCTCCCACCCCAACAGGTTAATTTTCCACACTCAGCAGTATTAGGCACAGTGGATCATTCCCTCCTTTTGATGAGGATGACCTGGGAATGGGGCTTCTTGTGACCGAAATAGGGATGAAAAGCGTTGTGAGATCAGTCCTGGTCCCTCAACGCAGGCAGTCATGTCAAGGCTGCATGATGGTCTCTCGGATACCCCTGTCTCCTGGCTCTTCCCTTACCATCCAGGCCTTTCATTCTCAGGCTCCTCACACATTTTTCCTCTTGTCTCTGGTAACTTGATGTTGGAGGTCCCCAGGAGTCAGTCATGGGTCTTCTTCTCTGTCTGCACACAATCCCTTGGTGATCTTATCCAGTCTCAAGGTTTTAAATGCTGTTGATTCTCTAACAACTCCCAAATACATACTTACTGCCCAGCTCTCTCTCTTTGGAGTAGTACATCGGACTGTCTATTTGATATCTTCACTTGGAGGTCTAATAGACCCTTCAGACTTAACATGTCCCACATTATCTGGGTGTGGTGGTATGCACCTGTAACCCTAGCTACTCGGGAGGCTGAGGCACAACAATCGCTTGAACCCGCGAGGCGGAGGCTGCAGTGAGCCGAGATCACGCCACTGCACTCCAGCCCGGGTGACAGAGCCAGACTCTGTCTCAAAGAAAAAAAAAAAAGCTACCCATTTCTTCCCCCATTCTACTTCCTGCTTCATTTTTTCCATAGAACTTATCACCTTAACGGTCTAATTTACAAATGTTTATTGTCTGTGAGTATACATTGTGTGTCTAGGTCACTAGAATGTGACCTCCGTGAAAGCAGACATTTTTTTTGTATGTATGTCCTGCGTTCTCTGATGACTCCCACGTACCTCTAACTGTACCTGGCACATAGGTACTCAAGAAATGTTTCCTGAATAAGGCTCTTCAAATCAAGAGCCCCAGTGGGCCCTATGAATGCTGCGAAATAATTGTACTATAGGGACCCATTTGTGGGAATACTCACAGCACTAAAACCCCTTAGTTAAGAGGGATCTGAACACCCTAAGACATTTCTGCATAACTTCTGGCAGCAACTTCGCAAAGCACTATAGCCACCACACACTGTCCCTGAGATGTCAGAGTCACTGACGGATTTGGGCCCTAGGACAGCCTTTACCAGCTGCTGGTGTGGCCGAGTCTCCACTCACGAGTCCTAGGCTGGTAGGTTCACTAAGGTGTGCAGACACCCCCACTCCTCCTGTGACAAGTTGCTGGTGGCCGCTGAGCGTTCTTGGCGGCAGAGTTGCACCAGCGGCCTTCGGCGATCCGCGATGATCGCAATGTGTAAGTGCGCCTTCCAGCCAGCAGAGGGCAGGAGCGGCTGCGATGTCCCAGGCCGGGCTTGCGCGGGCTCCTTTCGGCGCCTTTCACTGCTGGTTCCACCTCTCTCCTCAGCTCGCCGCTTCTTCCAGGGCGGGAGTGAGGGAGGGGAGGAACGCTGGAGGAGTGAGCGCGTGCGGGGGTGCGGGGGTGCGGGTGTGTGGTAGTGCAAGGAAGCATGTGCTTCTGGAAAGCTTTCCCGGGATGATGCTCTCTGGGCTCACGGGTACGATTTGCCCACAGCGAATGTTTGTACTATGCAGACATTGAAATAGAATGAGGTCCACTCGTCTTCCAATGGCGGGTCACAGGCTCCTGGGAAGGGGATCTGAAGCCATTCCACCGAGCCACCCCGCTTCCTTTATGGAGATAATGCCCAGACTTGCCCTCACCGCGTTGGAAAGAGCTGCCTGGAGGGAGGACGCCGAGCTGGGGCAACTCCTCCGGCGCGGCCGCTTAAGCGCTGAGGCTGATTCCAGCAGCCGCCACAGTGGCCGGCAGGGGACGCTGTGCCGCTGAGACCCAGCGGGCCGAGAGGCACTAAAGTTGTGTCTCCTGGTTCTTAGCTGAGACGGACTTGAACTTCCAAAAGCCTCCTTAACCACCGAGGAAGCAGCAGAATGAACAGGCTTCAAATAATGAGCGCTTGTTATATGCCACGAGCTCTCCGTCGCGGAGGCGGCTGGATGTGCAGAAGGAGGGCAGGGCCGGGAAGGAGGGACGGCTGCTCCACTCTCGGCCTGTCTGCCTCGGGCTGCAGGCTTGGGGTTTGGAGGTCAAGTCTATGCCGCATCGCTAGAGTAGTTTACAGTGGTGAATTTCAACTGTAAATTGAAATTCACAGCTTCGTTCTTTAAACTTTGTATTACCAGGGACCATTCCTTAGCAGGCTCAGAAAGGGCTACAGTGAGGTAGGCTGTTTGATTTTCCTTTTACATATACAGATACGTTGTACATGCAAATGGCAGAGGTAAATTCAAACATTAGGAGAGCAAATGTAGCGAAAAGGATGAAGACATCCTACTTTTCTTTTCCAGATGCAACAATTTGCAGTTTTTTGATATCCTTTTACTGTCTATGCATATCTACATGTTATATTCATAAGCTCATTGACTTGTATAGGTAGTGTTTATCTCCTATTTCCCACCCACAAATAGTAACATTCTGTACACAACGTTCTACACCATTACCTCTTTCCACTAACAATGTATTTTAGACATATTTTATGCCAGTAGCAAGAGTATATCTCATTCTATTTTGATGTCTGCATAGTACAGGCATACCTCAGAGATATTACGAGTTTGGAACTAGACCACTGCAATTTTTATTTTTATTTGTTTATTTATTTATTTGTTTATTTATTTTGGGACGGAGTCTCGCTCTGTCGCCCACGCTGGAGTGCAGTGGCGCGATCTCTGCTCACTGCAAGCTCTGCCTCCCGGGTTCATGCCATTCTTCTGCCTGTGCCTCCCAAGTAGCTGGGACTACAGGCGCCAGCTACCACACCCAGCTAATTTTTTGTGTTTTTAGTAGAGACAGGGTTTACCGTGTTAGCCAGGATGGTCTCGATCTCCTGACCTTGTGATCTGCCCACCTTGGCCTCCCAAAGTGCTGGGATTACAGGCGTGAGCCACCGCACCTGGCCACAATTTTTATTTTTTAAAACACAATTTTTTTTTTGTTTCCCAGTGCATGTAACAGTTACATTGAAGGTGGCCATTGAGACCTGAGAGCCCACAGGAAATAGAGTTCGTACATCTGTACGTCTGTGTTTCTGTAAACAAAAGTTCCTTGGCACAGTGCTTAGACTATGGACAGCATTTTGAGGGTGCCAGTCCTAACTCTAAGTGTATGATACAAGTCAGTTAGTCAACCTTTATAAGCAGGTAGGGTGCAATGGACTGAGGGTGAAGCTCTGGTCTGGGCCTAGGGTGTCAGTGCAGGGATGGAAAGACATATCCAGGGAGGTGACTGGAGGGGTTAGTTTGTCAGACAGGGACTAGCCTTAGGATGCCAGTTTCCTGGAAAAACAACAGAGGAACTCAGACATGATTCACAAGCCTGGGGCCGTGACATCTGAAAAGGCCAAGCAGAGACTGGTGTGGCCCAGTGAAGGTAGGTTTGATGGCTGTGGATGCAGCCACAGGGGAGTCCCTTAATCCCTCTTACAGGTCACTGAGGAGAACTGCAGTAAGGTGTTTCAAGTAGTCACTTACTGAAGACTGCTCTGAGCAGGTCACCCTGCCATTAGCATGGACATGGAAGGTGGGGTGGGTCAGCGACTGGGCCTCCCTGAGGAAGGCTGTTGCATGGGAAACTTTGTTTAGAGACATCCTGGGAATTTTTCTTGCCAGTTTTTCATCATTCCCTGTTGGCCTCTGTTGGGGCAGAGGTCACACATATCTGAGGTAGTGCAATCTGCAAGAATGGTCTACAAAAGCAGTATTATTCTCCATCCCATACAGCTTCCAAAACTTCTTGACGTTAGCAATTTCTTGTGGGAGGAAAATTCATTCATAATTAGCTATCCATGGTCCTAACTCATGATTTTCTGTGGTTTTAAGAGAATGCCAGGCTTGGTTGTCTATATAAAGCACATGGACTTTATGAAAGGACACATGAGGTTAGAATGAGAGCTCTGCTACTCACCAACCACATCACCTCAGACAAGGAGCTTGCCTGCTCTGTTCCACCAGGGAAACAGTAAAACCCTTTATGAATGCAGCAAATAATAAGCCTGTTAGTGGATCACCAGCATCTTGAACACAGGTGAACATGTACGCCATCTGAGCAACGATGAAAAGATTGTTACCTCCTGGACCGTACCTTTGTGAGTTTGAATCCCAACTGCCTTGTATGAAATGGGTGAACCAAAGTGCTGGTGGTTTCCTTTTTATTTTTAAGCCTCCTTGTTAAACCATAAGACACAAAAACAGTGAATAGTGTTGGGATATTTTGGCTGTTTAGCACCTGCTAAATAAATGTGCATTTTAGGTTTAATGAGTTTGATGCCCTTGTTCTCTTGAGACCAACGGTAGGTTATGGAAGGAACCTCATTAGACACAGATATGGATGGGATGCAGTATATTAACGTCTGCTGACTCACAGGTTCTCCTAGTATGCTAGGCAGTCCTCTGATCTAGAAGCATGACATTATTGTAGGCATTTGTGCTTGCTGATCTTTCCCATTGGACAACTGAATGACAGTTCTGAGGGATAGTTCTTGGGCATTCCCTGCAGTAAAACTGTTAGTTTTTGCTGGAAAGTCTTAAAGCAATTATGCAACTTGTATGTAACAATAATTTCATCACACAATATTTCACTTTATCTAAATCCACACTATTTTAAGAATATTTGACTTTCAGGACCTATCAGCACAGAGATATGGATGACATTACATTTTCTGCAGAGAGTTTGCCACACGCTAGCCCACAGACATACACACGCACAGGCGTATACCCATACTCACATCAGGAACTCTGTGAAACACAGAGAGTCTGAGCTGGAAAGAGGCTGAAAACTCCTTTATTCTAAGCTTCTTTTTTTTCCAACTGAGAGATGAAAGATGAGGTGATCAGCCAAGCTCCCACAAAAATTAATGGTAGATTTGGAATTGATCACTCATACCTTTCCCTTCAAGGTTCTATACGGATTAAGTGGAAATAAAAAGCAAGGTGGGCCTCTAGGTGTTATGGAATGAATTGCATCCCCCCAAAATTCATGTGTGACGCCATAACCCTTAGTAGCTCCTAAAGCGACTGTGTTTGAAGATGGGGCTTTTAAAGAGGTAATTAAGTTAAAATGAAGCTTTTAGTTTGGGCCCTAATCGAGTTTGATTGGTATCCTCACACACAAGAGACACCCAGGATGGGAACATGCACAGAGGAGTGACCATGTGAGGACACAGTGAGAAGGCAACAGAATATTAATATTCTGTCCCTCTAGAGAACCCTGTCTAATACACCTTGGATTTCTTGTTTCTAGAACTGTGAGAAAATACGTTTCTCTTGTATAAGCCACCTAGTCTGTGGTATTTCATTCTAGCAGCCCCAGGAAGGAAATAGAATGGGTAATCTGTAGAGGTCTCCATGAGAAAGGGCAGGGCAGAAGAGTGGGATTAGAGAGAAGGAAGGTGCTGGAGATGGGTACTTGAGAGGGAGGGAGGAATTGTCAAATGAGTTGATCTGATGAGTCTGTAGAAGAGTGAGGAGAGATGGAGACAAACAGAGTTCATGTGAAGTATGGAGGGCCAGGGTAATGGAAAAAGGACCAGTATCTCAGGGGAAGGGAGACATACATGCTCCACTCTTCTCCTTTTCATTCCCTCCTCTGGGAGGAAAATATGACTCCAGTGTTGACCCTTTTTCTTCTCACGTCCTGGACAAGACTGCCTTCTCTAGGTCAAGAACTAGGAAAATCTCCTCAATCCACTGCCCAGACTCCTGTCTTCCAACAGTTTGTGTCATGGGGATCCCTGACATTTGGAATGAGACAATTCCCCACAGCCCCAGCCTCTGTCTGGGTCAATTTTCCATTCTTACTTTACTGATCTATCAGAAACATTTAACATAGTATCACTCCCTCCACCTGGGATGATCTGGGAATGAGCTTCCTGTGACAGAAACAGGGATGAAAAGCATCATAAGCTCAGTCGTGGTGCCCTCAAGGCAGATAGTCAGGCTGCCTCTCAGTGTGTAGGACACTGCTGTCTCCTGGCCTGTCCCCTACCCTACAGGGCTTTCATTCTCAGTCTCCTATGTAAGTCCCTCCTCTTCCCCCTGGAATCTTGTTGTTGGAGCTTCCTAAGGATCAGTGGTGGGCTTCTTGACCCACGTAACATCTCTTGATTTTCATCAGTGGGATCAATGGATGAAATGCCATCAACTCCCAAACTAATCTTCAGCCCAGCTCTCTTGGTTGAACTGTAGACTCTTGCATCCAATTTGTTATTTGATAACACTACATGGATGTATCATGTATGTTGCAGAGTTTTTACATCCCAAGTGGAAACACTGATTGATCATCTCCCCAGATCCCCTCATCTACCAGTTCCTTTCTCGGAATTTCTGTCTCAGTTGAAGATAACTCCATCGTTTTCAGTGAAAACCAAAGTGGTTTGACATAATCCTTTACGCTTTCATTCTCTAACATACTCCAGCTAATCTATGGGAAAAGACTGTTGTTTCTGCCTTCAAAACATGCCTGGATCTGATTATTGATTCCTGGTTCCCCTACAACTGCCAAGTCTGAGACAGCAACACCTCCCACTGGCAGAACTGCAAGAACCTGTCCCTGTGCCCTGCTTCCACCTTCACCAACCACAGCGGCCAGAGTGATCCTTTTATGCCATAAATCAGGTCCTGCTGCTCTGCTCAGAACCCCGGAGAGCTTCCACATTTCACGGAGTAAAAGCTGGGATCCCTATAATCTCCTGTGCCCTAACGTAATGTGTCCTCCTGCGCACTTTTCGGGATACATCTTCTACTCTTTTGCCTGTCAGTCTCTTCCCTCTAGTTTCCTGACCTTTTACTGTTCCTTGAGGCACCTGGCATGTGCCTGCCTCAGGGCTACTTTAGTCCCACCCCACCTGCATGTGCCAGGCTAAGTTCTTCATCCCCTGTAAGTCTTTGCTCAAAAGTAATTTTCTCAAGGATACCTATATAAAAATGATTGTCATATTAACATGAACAAATAACAGAGCATGGATTTCTATCTTAAATTCTTTATAATTTATTTCCTGCATTTTAGTACCCTGAAATATCTTCCCTCCAAGTACTGGGTCTTTCTCATGACCTAATA